CACAACATCTTTGTTGGTATGTGGTGCTGAGGATCGAACCCGGGCCGCACGCATGCCAGGTGAGCGCGCTACCGCCTGAGCCACATTCCCAGCCCTATATATAAAATTTGAAAAATTGGTTTATTAGTCCAATATGTATCCAAAAATTTTGTTTCTAGTCTTTTTATCCATAATTTTTTTTTCCCTGGGGAAGGGCTGAAGATTGCATCTAGGGCTGATCCACTCTGTATGTGCTATTCCAGAGTTATACTCCAGCCCTACCCACTCAAATATTTTGGTTATTTTTGGTACTGGGGATTTACCACTGAGCTACACCTTGGCCCTTTGTATTTTTTATTTTGAGACAGAGTCTTACTAAGTTGCTGAAGCTGGCCTCAGATTTGTAATTTTGCCTCAGCTTCCCAAGTCACTACTACAGGCATGTGCTACTGTGGCTGGACTACCCCTTAATTTTTTGAAGGGAATTCTATACTATATACAATTTTATGTTTAAATACTGCAGTATGAGTGTCTAAAGTATAGAGCCACTTTTTTTTTTCTTTTAAATACTGGGGATTAAACCCAAGTAGTCATGTATGCTGGTCAAGTGCTCTACTGTGGAACTTTACCCCCAGTATTTTATTTGAGACAGGGTCTCTTTGAGTTGCCATGGCTGGCCTCTAACTTGTGATTCTCCTCACAGCCTGGCACAAGAGGATGCTACTATTCCTGGTGTGTCATTTTTCTTTTGGTACTGGGAATTGAACCCAGTGGCACTTTACCACTGAGCCACATCCCCATCCCTTTTTATTTTTGAGACAGGGTCTTGCTTAGGGCCTTGCTAAATTACTAAATCTGGCCTTGAATTTGTAATCCTCATTGCCTCAGTTTATCAAGTCATTGGGATTATGGGTGTACACTACTGCACCTACTAAAAGATTCATATTTAAATTAGGAAAAAAGGAGATATGTTTATGATTGAAATATATGCTACTCATTGCTTGATTGTTTACTTTTTTTCTCTTTATGTTGAAGAAACCTTGTCAGCTGACCTGTCAGATATCGTAGGGCCATAGTCTCTTGGGACTCTGGCTGACTTCAGGAGAGAACGCTGAGGGGTTGCTGGCTTCTCACTTCAGAGTTCCTGGACACCTACTGGAAAGGGTCACCTCGGGCATCTTTATGCACAATGGCCTTTAAAGCCCTCCTGGAAGAGCTTCATACAGCAGCCAGTTGCCCCAACTGCCAGGGTTATCTAACAGATGCAGTGACTATTCAATGTGGGCACAACCTCTGTCGCTCTTGCATCTCCCAGCACTGCAAAGATCTACAAGATATCTTCCCCTGTCCTGTTTCCATCACTGCTGTATCAAGAACCTCGAAAAAAACACCCAGTTATGCAACATAGTTCAGACTGTCATGGAGCTGCCTGACCCAAGAGTTAAGAGGAGACCCCTGTGTGAGAAGCACAGTGAGGTTCTGGACTTGTTCTGTGAGGAGGACCTGGAGTTCTTGTGTCCCCAGTGCAGAGTCTCCTCCAACCACCAGGATCACAACCTGACACCCATTAATCAAGCTGCAGCTCCTTCTCAGGACAAAGCTCAAAAACCACATTAAGCTCCCCAGGGAGCAAATTGAAGGTGCTGAAATTGGGTGTGAACTACAAGTTTCAAAATGCATTAAAGGGAGATGGGAGATGGGAAATTGGAAGAAGGAATTACACACTGAATTTGAAGAACTTAAAGACTTCTATAGAAAGGAACATATTAAAACACAGCTAAGGCTAATTATAGAAGAGACGATTGTCGAAGAAAAATTAGTTGAAAACAAAAGCCAAATTTTAGCCCATGTAGCCACATTAGAAAGCTTATTAAATGAAGAGAGAAATATAAAAAAAGCAGACCCGGATTTACTTGGAGGTATTAGAAGCATTAACAGCAGGTACAACGACATAAAACCCCCAGCAGTTTTTTCATATGAATTCAAGACAGAGTTACGATTCCCCTCTACGTTGTTTTGATCTGAAAAAAATGATCAGCACATTTCAAGTAAATTTGACTTTAAGTTCTCAAACCTCCCTCCCTAATCTGAAATATGAAATGATGAACTCAAACGATTATCTCCCCAGCCATCTACTTTCTTTGCAGCTGCCTGGAGTCATGAGAGATTTGAAAGTGGGAGACATTTTTGGCAAGTAGAAGTGAGAGGCACAGGTGAATGAATGGTCCTTAGGTGTGTATAGTGAATCCTCCTCTGGAAAAGATTTGACATCAGTTTGTCCTAGCAATGGTTTCTGGCAAATTGTGCAGTCCACAGATGTATCACAAGTCAAACAAGTCAGGTGGGTTGGAGTTTTTCTGGATTATGAGTTGGGAGAGGTTTCATCTTATAATTTGAATAGCAGATCATGTATGAGTACTTTGACTAAAGACTTTAGAGAAACACTTGTGCCTTTTTTCTCTATTGAATGTTCCTCAGAATCTCTTACAATCACTGTTGTCAGAGAGGAATTAACTATTGTCAGGAATTATGAACTGGCCTGGAGGACCATTTCCTATGTTTATATTTTATTTTATGCTCTTGTAGGGTACTTGTAATAAAGATTTTGATTCCACTTTGTTGTCTGGCTGTTAATCTTTCAGGACCTTCCCTTCTGCTCCACACCAGGCACCAGGGCAAAACAAAGTCTAGGTGCTCCCTATTTGGGCACAGGTAGGAGGTCTAAACCTTCACACCAGCCCACGCTGTGATCTCCATAACAACCCCATTGAGTCTTCTTTCCCTCCCTCCCTCCCTCCCTCCTTTCCTTCCTTTTCTTTCTTTCTACCTTAATCTCCCCATAACTGTTTTGGGAATAATTTGTCATGTTTTGTGTGTGGCATCATCTGTCCTTTCATGGTGCTGGGGATTGAACCTAGTGCCTCACACATGCTAGGCAAGTGCTCTGCCACTGAGCTCCAGCTCCAGCCCTCTTCTTATTTTTTGAGATAGGGTCTTGCTAAGTTGCTGAGACTGGACTTGAACTTGCTAACTGGCTCCAGTGTCTGACAAGAGTGCACTTTAGCTCTGCTGCTTTGTATTGCATTTGCTGAGTTCTGCAGAGGATGTTAGAGATTTAACAGATATACAGATTCTCTCTGGCCTTGGCACTGGGAATTGATCCCAGGGACACTGAGCAACGTCCCTAGTACTTTTTCAAATTTTGAATCAGGGTCTTGCTAAGTTGCTGAGGCTGGCCTTGAACTTGCGATCCTCCTACCTTAGACTCCCAAATTGCTGAGATTATAGGTATGTACCATAGCTCCCGGCTTTGATCTATGAAGTTTCTATAACTCTTGGCATTTGGGGGCAAGAGTATGGATTCAGGTCTATCATGTATCTCTAGGTCCTATATTAGTTCAGATCTATGTCTGGCTTTGAACTAACTGTGTCTAGATTCCTCCCTAAGTGCGACTAGATTCCTCCTTAAGTGTGA